GCGTCTATGTGTTCGGCAGTCGCAAACGTCACTCAACCCGTTAGGTGTCAATATGCAGCTATCCTGACNGGGGGGGGGCGCATGGCCTCTATTTTTCAGGGGGGGTTCGGGTACTGGTTCGGGGTCGGGTCTATGTGTACTGCATTCTCGAATTTTCTNCCTGTGAGGTTTCAGTGTGTGTCTTTCCTCACTCAAAGCGTCTATGTGTCTGGCACTATCCACAATCACTCAAATCGTGAGGTTTCAGTATGTAGCTATCCCCACGCAGCGCGTCTATGTGTCTGGCAAACTCAAAAACCAATCCATCTGCGAGGTTTCAGTATGCAGCTATCCCCACTCAGCGCGTCTATGTGTCTGGCAAACTCAAAAACCAATCCATCTGCGAGGTTTCAGTATGCAGCTATCCTCACTCAACACGTCTAGGTGTCCGGCAATCTCCAATAGAAATCACCTGTGAGGTTTCAGTGTGTGTCTTTCCTCACTCAAAGCGTCTATGTGTCCGGCACTATCCAGCATCACTCAACTCGTGAGGTTTCAGTATGCAGCTATCCCCACTCAGCGCGTTTGTGTCTNCGTCTATGTGTCTGGCAAACTCAAAACCCAATCCATCTGTGAGGTTTCAGGTATCTTCACTCAACACGACTATGTGTCCGGCAATCTCCAACGCAAATCAGCTGTGAGGTTTCAGTACGTGTCTTTCCCNACGTCTAGGTGTCCGGCAATCTCCAATACAAATCACCTGTGAGGTTCAGTTTGTGTCGATCCTCACTNGGGCCCAAATGCGGCATCAAAAAGGGCTTGACTTCAGCTGCAAACATCGCACGGAATGTAGAAAAAAAAAAAAAAGATTAAGATTGATGTATTGTCGCGTATCCTCAGCAGTACCCTCCTTCGGTCTCTCCCTGTGTCTACTTCCCGGTTGGTTCTGGACATGGTGCTGTTGTCTGCTGTTTCTGCGCTGCTGTGCTGTGTGTGTGTGGCGTACAGGGGCTCCGTACTGCTGCGCATACCCTAAATTTGATTCACGGAGCCCCTAAGAAAACATCGGTCGGAACATCGGCACGAATTTTCGATACCGATATCGATATATATCGGACGATATATATCGTGTACATCGTTCCGATTCACAACTCTACACTCAACGCGTCTATGTGTCCGGCATTCCAACATCACTCAACCCGTGGGATTTCAGTATGCAGCTATCCCCACTCAACCCGTCCATGTGTCTGGCAATCTCATACCTCACTCAACCCGTGGGGTTTCAGCGTACAGCTATAATCACTCAACACGTCTATGTGTCCGGCA